TAGAGGACAAGAGAAACTCACAAAAGTATGGTTAGTAGCATATCAACACATCACTTTTGCAGATGGCATTTCAAAAGCAGGAAAGCGGCCATGATTGGGGGTACACACACTATTGTAGACAGAAAAGCTTACAAGATTGGCTCAGGCCCCTCTGACAGTGGCGGTAAGGGTATAACTCACAACCAGCAGTCTCTAGTATTCTCAATTCACTTAAGGCAAGTTTCTGAAGGCCAGCTGCTTGGACTGGTTAGGGGAGTGGTTGTAGTCCACTTTCAAACTGCCAGAGGACAAAGCTGCTTACTTGCTAGCTAATGGTCAGAACGAATTCAATGGACACCGAATCCATATGGAACTAAAAACCTGTATAGAGCTTTCCCCTTCTGAAAACCCAATGCTCAGAATTTAAGCTCAAGTACAATTTGATGTTACTTTTTCTTCTTTTGCTTATCAAATAGATATATTTAAAGGTAGCTTTAAATTTAAAATAACAGTTTTAGTTGTATGGAATTGAGAAAATGACTTTTGAAGTCACTTAGGAACACCCCTAATTTTTCCTCTATGCTGAGAATGTTAGGTAGCAGGAAACAGGGACGGGGGTGGGGGGGTAGTGGGGTTGTCCCTCTTCATACCTAAAGGCCTCTACAAGAGAATCAGGTGAGCCTTAGCCAGCCATAAAGACTACTGGGCTTGTGCCAATTCAAGCCCCAGCCAGGTGGGCAGAACACCTGGGAGGCCAAACTAGGCCCAGGTGGGCTTAATTCAGCCAGTGGGGTCAACCAATACCTTGGACCACATCTCTCAGCCAGAGGCCTCAAATACTTTGCCTGAAGGATTGCCAATCCCCTTTTTCTTCTTTGACCTTTGGCTCCTGTCTTGTGCCTGCTTGCTTGGCTGTGGTCTCTTTGGCCCCAGGATACTATGTGTGGCTATGCAGTCCTACAAGGTTGCCCATGGTATAGTGGTAAACCCCAGTGCAGTTTACACATGGTTTGGCACGCTTCCCTAAAATAGAGTGTACTTTTTTGAGACTGTAAAACCTGAAACTTCTTCCATCCTCTATACAAATCCACTTGGATCATAAATCAGGCTTCAGTGTGAATTCTTTCTCCTGTGAAACTAAGAACCAAGGGATTTCCCACCTGAGAAATCTAACAAGATAACTGCTGTTATAATGCTAATGGTAATTTTCACAGTTAAAGAATATAAACATATAGAGTTGGCTACATACATTTTAGCAGCTTTATAGAGGTATAGCTGACGTGCAGTAAACTTCAGACTCTTAAAAGTGTACAATTTGATGCATTTGGACAAATGCTTCAACCTGTGAAAGCATCAATGAATTAAAAATAAGGGACATGTTCATATCCCCCACATTTTCTCATGACTGCAATCTCTTCTGCCTCTCCCTGACATGTCCCCTCCCGACAACCACTGCTCTGCTTTTCCTTACTAAATTAGTTTGAATCCCTAGACTTTTATATAAATATGATTATAAAGTACAGTCTATTTTGCCTGGTTACTTTCATTCATCAAATTTATTATGCGATCCTCCATCTACCTTGTAGCTTGTATTACATTGTTTTGACTACGGCCAAGGTCATAAGTTTTGAGGTAGAGTAATGAGAACCTTCTTATTTCTTGTGGCTTTATCCTGATTCTTTTCCCTCACCATAGAAAGTTAGTAATTAATTTTTTCCTCATTTTTAACCAAAAGAACAAAGTTGGGATCTGGATTGGAATCTCATTGTATTTATTGGTTGCTTTGGGTAGTGTTAATATTTTCACAAGTTTAAGTCTTCCTATTCATGAACATGGAATAAAGTTTTTTTTCTTTCCCATTTGTGTAGGTCTCTTTGGGTTTCTTATAATATTGTTCTGTATTTTTTTTTTTTACAAATCTTGTGTCTCTCATTAGTTTCATTCCTAAGTATTTCATCTTTTCTGTGGCTTCTGTAAATGGTATTATTTTATTGATGTCTTTTTCAGAGCTTTCAATATAAGAAACATATTGGTTTCTGCTTGTTAATCTCGTATTCTGCCACACTGCCAAATCTTTTGTTTGTTTCCAACAAGATTTTTTGTCCAATCTTTGGGATATTCACTATATAAAATCATATTATGTAAAAATGTGAGCATTTCACTTCATCCTTGCCCAATTGTATTATTTTAGTTTCTTTTTGTTGTCTAATGGTTCTGTCTAAGAATTTCAGTACAATGTTGAACAAGAGTGGTGATTGGAGGTGTCTTTTTCTGATTTCTGTTTGCCAGGGAAATGCTTTCAGATTTTCTACAATGAGCAAGATATTCTTATTGCCACTGAGTCAATTTTAACTCAGCAACCCCTTGTGGTTTTCTGAGATTTTAACAATTTACAGGAATAGAAAGCCTAGTCTTTCTCCCACTGAGCTGCTGGTGGTTTCTAACTGCTGACCATGTGGATTGCAGCCCAGTACATAACCACTACACCACAAGGGCTCCCATGAGCAAGGTGTTAGGTCCAGAGTTGTAGGGTCCAGAATTGTGAGAAAATTAATTTCTGTTCTTTGAAAGACTCACTTTCGATTTCTTTGTTATGACAGTCTTAGCAAACTAAGACAACAGATCTCAATATTATCTATTAACTTTGTTGTTTACTTGCCCATCTAGATATGATTTATAGTTAAGAGAATACAGGGTTTTCTTATCTTTATTTCTGGGATAAAAATAATACAAATTTCAATTCAATAACCTTTATAATAATTTATTGCTTCCTCTAAGCATGAATAAATTTCTGTCCAAAAATCTGCAATGAATTTTAATGAATGAGCATTTTTCGGTTCATTTAATTAACAGCCCAAAGGTAAGTTGTGCATGCATCTTCCTGATATTGAAAAATGGTGTTATCAAACTTCTCACTCACAAAATTGATGATATGGAAAAACACTGAAATACATACATCGTGGAGACATTTTTGGTTATTGTATGTAAGACACTTTTGAGTCTGCCTTCTTAACTCTATAATCATTTTTGTAATTGTAAAAATAATTTTATTTGATATATTTTTGAGTCTCTATTTTCTTGTGCATAATTTAAAATTTTATTGCTTTGCATATAGTAGATACTGAACGCAGGTGCACATAATTCATAAAGCTATTCCAGCACCCTTACTTTCCCTAGCCAATAAAGGAATTTCTTGGGGTGGATGCTGGGGGTAGGGGACAATCACAAAACTTGTTTGACTTTCCTTGTTGTGGAATTCAGAGGCTTTTATATTCCTTTTTTGGTCTTTGAAATTCTCTTGAATATTGGATGGGCCTTTGCTGCCCCCTAGACTTTGATTTCAGATTTCCTATTTGGGTTACAGAAGTTGTATTGTGTTGGAAGGTTTGCATGGTAGCCTAAATTGTTCCTTAATACATTCTGAGTATCATCATATGAATTAGGATGTTCATGTATGATTACATGTTTGTGCTCTCTATAAAAATGGGTCCAACTGAGGGGTCTGCTTTTGGCCACAACACTCCATTCTCCCAGATTACCCAGTGCTCATTAAAGAAAGGGGCCCCTGTTCTACAACAGCACAGGCAATGTGTAAAGACACTGGAAAGTGCAAAGTGGAGTCAGTAAGGTTTTAAGTAATAAAAAACCCACTGTAATACTCATTATTGGGTGATAAAGTCTCAAGTGTTAAATTTAATACTTTGGAGTATAAATAGCTGCTAAATCACACTGAATAGTGTTGGCCAGAAATATTGAATATCAAACTAATATTGCTTGAAGACATATAGGAAAAATGCTCCTTTGAAGTAATGCGGGTGAGACTTCCTATCTTGTACAGTGGGCAAGTTGTCAGAGGGACCAGTTCCTGGGGAAGGACACCACAGTTGGTTAAGTTAGAAGGGCAGAAAAACCAGAGCAAGACCCTTGATGACATGACTCGACCTAGCAGCTATGACAATGGATGTAAACCTAGAAAGCTCGTGAGGGTGGTGTACAACCGGGTACTGCTTCATTCTGTTGCATATGGAGTCTCTATGAGTTAGGACTGACTTGAGAGTACTTAATAACAACAACAACAAGCCACATAGGTGTCTTTAATTATAATAACTGTCTCAAACAAATATTCCCTCTGTCAGAGCAAGCAAGCCTCTTAGGTGTTAAAATAGGTCTTAAATGAGGTGTTTTTCTCATTAAGGAAGCAACCCAGAGAAAAGGACAACCGTATTGCTTCAGATCTATGGGTGATGAACTCATAGAATAGTTTAAAGGTACATTTTCTAATAACAATTAAAATATTTATGTAGCTTTTTCGTAATTAGAACACTCCCCACACCGATATAAGGGATGAGCTTAGTTTTTACAAAGAAAACTGATTCCTAGCAACAATTATTCTCTCCCTCCCTTTTTTGGAGGAAAAAATAATTTTATTAAAATAAAATTGTGCACATATTTTAGAATACAATATTTTAAATATAATACTAAGCTTATTTCTTAAAATTATTGTCTTCTCATAGAGGATTTTGCCAATTATTAAAAAAAAAACACCTCTTTATTGTGATTTAGGTAAAGATTTTCAGAGCATGAGTTTTGCATTCAACAACTTATACATTTTTTTGTTTCAACACATCCATTTTAATCCCCTAAATGGACCGTTGCATATTCTCCTCCCTCCCAGTGTTTTCTATTTCCACTTCCCCTTCTTCATGACCCTTTACCCTTAGGTAAATGCTGCTCTTCTCATCTTAAATGGTGCAACAGATTTGCACAATGCAATGTCATTTGAGTTTTTTTTCCCACAACAGTTTTTTTATTTATCACTTAAGACAGTTATGTTTGTAAAATTTTCTGCTGCATATAAAATGGCCTGCTTGAAGTTCTTCCCGTAGTGCTTCGGTCCTCAAAACTCTAGCTCTTTTTTGCTTCATCACATTTCAAGGCGGTTTTACTAGCCACAGATCTACATGGAAGCTGATGGAAAACTGGACTTAGGTAGGAGGCTTCTTTGTGCAGGTCCCGGAGAATTTGATAGGAAAGGTGAGTGACAGCTGCAGATCCTTTGCTGACCTGAGCTGGCAGTCTCTCCACGATGTTCTTGCGTGCAGTTGGAGATCAGATGGCCACACAAGCCACCGACCTTGGGAACGTGCTCTTCATTTGAGTTCTTGACTGCTATTTCTATGAACATTGATTGTGGATCTACGCAAGATTAAATCTTTGACAATTTCAGTCTCTGTGTATCATGATCCAATTGTGAGGATCATTGTTTCCTTTGCATTGAAAAATCCACATCGAAGGCTGCAATTTACTTTCATAAGCAAGTTTGTCAAGTCCTCCTCACTTAAAATCCAGAAAGATGGTAACATCTGTTTATCCTAGTTTGTTAATAAGCCTTCCTCTAATCCCAATACTGTATTCTCTGCCTATAGTCCAGCTTCTCCGATTATTTTCTCAGCCTGCAGATTGAACAAGCAGGCTAGGTAATAGATAAGTGTTAACTTGGGTGGAGGGGAAGATAATATACGATCAGAGGGTGGTAGTGTTGCTCTTAGGCACCCCTGAGTCAGTTCTGACACATAGTGACCCCATGCACCACTGAACCAAGCACCACCCAGTCCTGTTCCATCCTCACCATTGATCCTACACTGGAACCCACGGGTGCCAATCCATTTCTTTGAAAGCTTTCTTCTTTTTCATGTTTCCTCTACTTTACCAAGCATTCTGTCTTTCTCTCCTGACAACATACCTACCAGCACAGAGATACACAAACCACTTCAAGATGGCAAACTGGCAGACAAATGGTGCAAAAGAGTGTTAGGAAGGAACAATTGCAAGGAAAAAACACTGGAAAGCTTGCAAGAGTCAAAGCAAAAAAAACCCCCAAATATTGTTATATACAAAATCCTGCAACCGTGGTGATATATAAGTAGCTGCTTGGATAGACCTGCAGGCTGAACCTGTGTGGGAGGAAGAAAGGGAGACTATCCATACATCTTTATATGTTTGTATATGTGCATTTACCTTTGCTGCAAATATAACCATGAATGTAGGGGAGCATGAAGAAGGAAAACTTCTATAAAGAACCAAATACCCTGAGGGGATGAGTAACCAGGCCTTGGGGCTTAAAACCTTAGTCTTAGGGGACACCAAGGTCAAGTGGCAGAACATAATTCACAAAGACAATGCTATTTCCCTTTAAAAAATTGTTTTAATTGTAAATATTAGTAGTTTGAAGCCTATCCATTTATATGAATTCCCCATTATGTTGGATATCATTTGTTTACTTATTCTTAACTATATATGCATAAATATATGATTATTTCTGTGGATAATTGTTAAGTAAATCTGCATTATTGATTAGGGATAGTTTTTAACTGGGGAGCAATATCTTTTATTCATATAATAAAACATAGTTGGGGATAATGTTGGATCTATAGCAATCCCAGCATATGCCTTAGAAGCTTTCTGTGAATATTTTGAAATGGCATCATAGAAAGTGATGAACTATTTCAACAGGGGGTATTTTGAAAAGCCTAAAGAATAAATGTACTGGTATGAGGTGTGATTTTTGCAAATATTTATAATCAATACTATAAATACTTTGTCACATTCAATAGTTTTCCTTTGGAACCAATTACAAGCCAGAGTCAGGTCAGAGAGATAGATTTAGTTCTTTAATCATGACACCCTGTGAAATATAGCTCCCAAGACTGGCCTGGATATGCCTTATTTTTAAAAAATACATTATTGGGATCCAATGTGATTCTGATGGTCTGATACCATCAATTCTAACCTAAGGTAGAAAGGAAAATATATAACAACCTGATAATGAATATAACAATTATTTTAGAAAACTGTGATAAAAAGAAGTGGTGACTCACTTAAGAAATATAAACTTATCCTCAATGATGCTTATATAAAAAATTGTAAATACAATTTTGAGCAACACTTGAATACAAATTTTTACCTTGAAACATAGTGGATTGAATGGAAGCTCTATATGAAGCTGTCATATTTTAACACGAAGGGATGGATATTATACCTGTTTTTGATTGATACTCTGTATTTCCCTTTATACTAGGGGAAAAAAGAGCTCAAGATGAATCTGGTATGAATCAGGTTTTCTAAGTATTTTACATTTTTATTTGTTTGGGTTTAGCCATTAACTATCATCAAATTAATAAACTCCTCTTGGTGAAAAGTATTCTGGCCGAAGTTAAGCAGGAGTGGGCTTCCCTCAGATTTGACTTATGTGTAAATTTGAGTTTCTACCAATTTAAAATGATTTATTAGTCTTGTTTCCAATTTAAGAATTACTTGATAACTTGAAGTTGCTTTTAAAATTATTCTAAATATAAAAAATATTTCTTATATTGCCAAAAATGGTCTACATAGGAAGATACAACTCTTCAGGAAAGAAGTTTAGTGGGCTACACAATGGGCTGCTAACCATAAGATTGGTGGTTCCACTCCACCAGCAGCTCCCCAGGAAAAAAAGTGAGGCTTGTTGCTCTCATAAAAATGTACAGCCTTGGACACCCACAAAGGTACTTCCACGCTGTCTTTTAGAATCACTGCGACTTGGAATTGATTAGATGGCAATTAATGATGGGTTTATTTTGTTGTTATTCTTGAATTTTTGTTTTTAATAAGGAAATATTTGGAGGCACCTAATAAAAACATAGGAAACAATAAATTACGCTTAAATGTGCTTCTTGGAACTGGCTATAGTCTGAAAACTAGGCAGTTGTTAGGTGCCATCTCGTCCATTCCTCCCACAGCCACCGTCTACACAACAGAATGGAACACTGCATGGGCCTGCACCTTCCTCACAATGGTTCCTAGGCCTGAGCCCATCGATGCAACCAATGGTCAGTCATCTCATTGAAGGCCTTCCTTTTATTTTGCCGCCCCTCCACTTTACCAAACATGATGTCCTTCTTCAGGGACTGGTCTCTCCAGATAATATGTCCAAAGTATGTATAGTGGAAATCTTGCCATTCTTGCCTATATGGTGCCCTCTGGCCTTACTTCTTCCAATACAGATAGAGTTGTCCTTTTAGCAATCTATAGTATTTTCAATATTCTGCAGCACCACAATTCAAATGCACTTATTTATCTAAGGTCTTTCTTATTCAATGTCCAATTCACATGCATATGATGGAATCGAGAATACCATGTCTTGGGTCCGCACCTTAGTGCTCAAAGTAACATACTTGCCCTTTAATATTATTGTTATTTTTTTTAGATGGATTGAGTGCTTTGTTTTTTGTTTATTTAAGTTTTTAATTATTCATTTATTTTAAAAGATAATCTTATTGGGGCTCTTCAATATTCTAAAGAAGTCTTGTGCAGCAGATTTACCTAATGCAATGGGCCCTTTGATCTCTTGACTGATGCACCCATGAGTATTGATTGTGACTCTGTGGGAAACAGAAAGATTTATCCCAAGTTCAAAATATGCCTGCCAACAGATTAAGAACTTGTTCTTCTTGGGCGTTGTCAAGTCAATTCCAATTTATTGCAACCCTCTGTACAAGAGAATGAAACACTCCTCTGGCCTGTACTGTCCTCATAATTGTTATTGTGTTTCAGCCCAGCCAAGAAATAGATCGCTGTGGGAGGGAGAGTTGGTGTCAAAAGGCGGAGAGGAAGTTGTTGGAATTGATCTCGGACTGGTGTCCTGTTGGATTTTCCTTTCCCTTTGTGTGTCTGGGGGAGGTGCAATGTGGTCTCTGGGTCATTTTCTTGGGCGCCTTGAGTCTAGGCCCAAATGACTATACAAGAACTTATATTCATGCAGAATATTTTAATCAGTCATCACAGTGAGAAATAGCTCTGCCAAGCATGTCCGCCACGCAGAGGAGATGTTTCCAAATGTTGGCCCATAGGTGGAAGATGACTTCTGCGGTCATCTAAAAAAGATGCCCACCTCCTGATCATCTACTCTTTTATCATTTCCCTTCTGTGAGTGTGAGCTGGGTTTATTGACTTGCTTCTAATAAGTAGAACATGGAAACCTCATGGGATATCACTTCTGTGCTTAGGTTGAAACACTGTGGCCTCCATCGTAGATGTTCTCTCATGCTCTTGTTTGGATCATGCCTCTAAGGCAGCGGTTCTCAACCTTCCTCACGCCGCAACGCCGTAATACAGTTCCTCATGTTGTGGTGACCCCCCCAACCACAAAATTATTCTCGTTGCTACTTCCTGTCATTTTGTTATGAATCAGGTGACCCCTGTGAAAGGGTCATTTGACCCCCAAAGGGGTCACGACCCACAGGTTGAGAATCTCTGCTCTAAGGGAAGTCATTTGCTATGTTGTGGGCCAGTCCTGTGGAGAGTCCCATGTGAGGGAGTGTAGATGCAGGTCTTCTGAAGCTTATGTACAAGCACATGATTATGCTTTGTGGTACATCCCACCACACTCCAGTCTTCCCAGTAGCCATCCCAGGCAGCAGATTAACTACAATTGTATGAGGAATTGTGCTTGAGTCACAGTCTCTAAACTAAGCTGTATTGGAAATCATGGTTCACAGAAATAAGATAATCAGTGTTGTTTTCAATTGTTGATGCAGTTACACAGCTATAGGTAACTAACATGATGTATTTATTAATTCATTAACTAGAATGAGCTCCTTAAAATTTGTAGTCCATTTCTTATTTTAATGGGTATTTTCAAGAAGAAGCCTTGGCGGTGATCTTCTTGAGCTACAAACCACAAGCCAGCAGTTCAATCCCACCACCTACTCAATGGGAGAAAGGTGAGGCTTTCTGCTCCTGTGAAGATTTGCAGTCTCAGAAACCCCACGGGGCAGCTTTATAGGGCACTATGCTCAGAATGGGCTTGATGACAGAGCATTTTTCGTTTTTGAATTTTAATGCCTTTTTACTAAAGGCACCACAATGTGGGTAATGTTTGGATTTATATCTGTAAATATCGAGTTCTCTAAAGGAGAAATTAGATATATACATATGGGAAAGTTTATTGTGTAAATTTATTTCCAATCTTTAGGTATAATCATATAAAGAGAGAGAAAATTGAGAATTTATAAGCAAAAGTTATAAAATTGAGTAGATTTTGAAAATCTTCTCTTTGATCTATCAGATCTTCTTTGAATATCTTTCTAAAATTAATCTTGTCTAGCTATT